AGCTGAAAGCGAACGGCGTGAAACGCGTCGGGCTGCTCGTCAAGCCAAAATGAAGCCGCACGCAGGATATCCGTTTGAGCCGCCGCGGGAGAGCGGCACGCTGCGTGCGCTCGCGCTTGCGGCGCTGATGCACGTGCTGCTGGCACTGCTGCTCTATCATGGAATGAAATGGCAGAACAGCATGCCTGCCGGCGCTGAAGCAGAAATCTGGACGGAAGTGCCCACCACGTCCGCCCCGCCCCGCCCCGCCCCCGCGCCCACACCGGTGCGGCTAGCGCCCCCACCCGCACAGCGCGACGAGGCCGACATCGCGTTGCAACAGGAAAAACGGCGCAAGCAGCGGCAAGCTGAGCACCAGGCACAGCTTGCCGAACAGGAGCGGCTGCACAAGCAGGCCGAGCAGCAAGCCGAGGCGCACCGCCAGCAGCTCGCCGCGCAAAGCGCCGCAGCCGAGAAGCTTAAGCAGCAACAGGCTGAAAAATTGCGCGAGCAGCAACTCGCGGAGCAGCAAAAGCAGCAAGCGCTGAAGAAACGGGAAGCGCTCAAGGCACAGCAGCTGAAGGAACAGCAGGAAAAGCTCGCACAGGCGAAAAAACAGCAGGCGCAGCAAGTTGCAAAGGCCAAGCAGGCGGCCGAGCAGGCCGCTCGCCAAAAACTTGACCAGGAGCGCCGTGCCCGCCTCGCACAGTTGCAGGGCTTGGCCGGCGACGCGCCGGGTGGCAACGGACTCGCCAACAGCGGCACAGGCTCGGGCAACGGCGGGACCGCGGCATCGGCGGGCTATGCCGACAAGGTCCAGCGCCGCGTACGGCCGAACGTCATCTGGTCGGGGCCGACGCAAGGTCTGGACACGCTGATCGCCGTGCGCTGCGCGCCGGACGGCGCACTGCTGGACACCCGTATCGCGCGCTCGAGCGGCAACCCGCAGTGGGACGCCGCCGCGCTGCGCGCGGTGCAGCGCTCCGACCCGATGCCACTGGATACCCATGGCAAGGCGCCCGCAAGCTTCAATATCCGGATGCGTCCCGCCAGCGGATGATGTACGCGGTGGCGCCGTCGCCCTGTGCACGGCGAATGGGTATGGCCAAGGGAACGATCACCCTGCTTCACGGTCTCTTTCGTGTTGCGGGATCGTCAACAACGTAGTCAGGCAAACGTAGGAAAAGCATGAGCTTGATCAAAAGACTGGGTCTGAAAACGCTGGTTGCGTCATGCCTTGCCACCGCCGGCGCATCGGCGCACGCCGATCTGACGGTACTCGTCACGGGGGTCGGTTCGACCCGGTTCCCGATTGCGGTTGCAAATTTTGCAAATGAAACGAATTCGCCGCAGCAGGTCGCGGCGATCGTGCGTGCCGACCTCGCCCGCAGCGGCAAGTTCAACAACGTCAATGCGGGCAGCACGCCTGTTTCCGAATCCGATTCGGTCGATCTCGGCACATGGAAGGCCAACGGGGCGAATGCGTTCGTTGGCGGCAGCGTCACGCGAGGCTCGAACGGCCAGTACGAAGTACGGTTCCGCCTGTACGATACGGTTAAGCAGCAAAGCCTTGGTGGCTTGTCGCTCGTAAGTCCTGAAAGTGGGCTGCGCATGAGCGCGCACAAGGTGGCCGACTATATCTATCAGAAATTGCTTGGCACACAGGGCATATTCGCGACCCGGCTGTCGTATGTCACGCACAGCGGCGGCCGCTATCAGCTGAAGATTGCCGACTCGGACGGCCAGAACGAGCATATCGCGCTGACGAGTCCGGCGCCGATCATCTCTCCAACGTGGTCTCCGGATGGTAAGAAGGTCGCATACGTATCGTTCGAGCGGGAAAAACCGATCGTCTACATCCACGACCTGCCGACCGGCCGTCGTGTGGTGGTATCCGCTCAGAAGGGCAATAATAGTGCGCCGGCGTGGTCGCCGGACGGCACGAAGCTCGCGGTCGCGCTGTCGATCACCCGCAATACCCAGATTTTCATCGTCAACGCCGATGGATCCGGGCTGCACCGGCTCACGCTCGGCAGCTCGATCGACACCGAGCCGAGCTTCTCGCCGGATGGCCAATCGATCTACTTCACCAGCGACCGCGGCGGTCAGCCACAGATCTACAAGATGGCCGTGCAGGGCGAATCGGCTGGCGCCGCGCAGCGCGTGACGTTCACCAGCAGCTACAACACCAGTGCGCGTGTCTCGCCGGACGGCAAGGAGCTGGCGTATATCTCGCGCGTCGGTGGCGCGTTCAAGCTGTATCTGCAGGATCTGTCGACAGGCTCCGCGATAGCGCTCACCGACACGACGCATGACGAATCACCGAGTTTCGCGGCGAACGGCCAATACGTGCTCTACGCAACTCAGGTGAACGGCCGTCAGGTGCTTGCCGCGGTGTCGACCGACGGCAGCATACGGCAGGTGTTGTCGATCCCAGGCGGCGGCGTGCGTGAGCCGTCCTGGGGCCCCTTCATGCAATAACCACAAGGAGAGCTTCAAATGATGTCCCAATTGCGTCTTGTTTTTGCTGCGCTGATGGTGGGTGCATTGGCTGCATGTCACTCGGGCGTCAAGCTCGATGAAGGCGGCAATGCCAAAAGTGGCGCGATAAGCACGCAACCTCAGCCGACCGACGTCCAGCCAGTCAATGTCGACGAACTCAACAACCCGAGCAGCCCGCTTGCCAAACGCAGCATCTACTTTGATTTCAACAGCTACACGGTCGGGGATGACTACCAGCCGCTGCTGCAAGCCCACGCGCAATACTTAAAGGGCCACCCGCAGCGCCACGTACTGATCCAAGGCAACACCGATGAGCGTGGTACCAGCGAGTACAACCTCGCATTGGGCCAGAAACGTGCCGAGGCTGTGCGTCGCGCGCTGGCACTACTTGGCGTGAACGACAGCCAGATAGAAGCCGTGAGCCTGGGTAAGGAAAAGCCGGTTGCAACGGACCACGGCGAAGCATCGTGGGCGCAGAACCGCCGCGCCGATCTCATCTATCAATAATCGGTGGTGACTGACACATGAATGTCCGTTTCACTTGGCTGCGCGCCGCCGCGGCCGTGGCCGCAACGGGCGCCACGCTTGCCGCAGCGCCCGCGCACGCGGGCTTATTCGACGACAACGAAGCACGGCAAGCGGTGCTCGATCTGCGCGCGAAAGCCGACTCCCTGACGAACCAGATGAGCGCGGCGCAGCGTACGATACTCGATCAATCGAACCACCTTGACCAGCTAAACCAGCAGGTTGCGACGCTGCGCGGACAGAACGAGGACTTGGCTAATCAAGTGGCAGCGCTGCAGAAACAACAGCGCGACTACTACACCGATCTGGATGCGCGGTTGAAGAAATTCGAGCCACAGCAGCAGACGGTCGATGGCGTCCAGGGTGAAGTGCAGCCGGGCGAGATGGACGCGTTCAACGCAGCGCTGCAACTGTTCAAGAACGGCGACTTCAAGGGGGCGGTGTCCAGGTTCAGAGCGTTCGTCTCGAAGTATCCGAATAGTCCGTATCAGCCGAGCGCGCAGTACTGGCTCGGCAATGCGCTTTACGCGCAGCGCGACTACAAGGGGTCAACCGCGGTACTGCAGGGTGTGGTTGCGAAATATCCGACGCATCCGCGTGCGCCCGAGGCATTGCTCGCGATTGCGAACAACCAATTGGAGCAAAGGCAAAAGGATGCCGCGAAACGAACGCTGGCACAGGTGCTCAAGCAGTACGGCGAGTCGAGCGCGGCACAGGCAGCGCAAAGCCGGTTGTCTGGTATCCGGTAGCTGGGCTGCAGGGCAATCGCGCTATAACACGTTATGAAACAGGAGCATAGCGCGGCAAAGTGGGCGATAGTAGAAGGATGTTGACCAATCCGCTGACTCACTTTGCCTGCTTGCCCGATCCTCGCCGGCAGACCCGCAACAAACTGCACAAACTCGAAGACATCGTCACGCTCGTCCTGAGCGCCCAGCTTTGCGGCATCGAGAATTGGGTCGGGATCGAAGACTTTGCGCACGAAAACGAAGACTGGCTGCGCCGTTTCCTGGCGCTGCCCAACGGCATCCCATCGCACGACACGCTGAGCGACGTGATCGGCCGTCTGGATCGCAAGGCGTTTGCCGAAGCTTTTTCCGCCTGGATGCGAGAGGGCTTGCCGTGCCTGCGGGGCGAGCAGATCGCCATCGACGGCAAGACCTTACGCGGCAGCCGTCGTCGCGCCGGCCAATCCCCCGTGCACTTGATGAGTGCCTTTGCTGCTCAGGCCAGATTGGTGCTTGCCCTTCAGTCCTTTCCAGACAAAGGAAACGAAATCACGGCCATCCCGGACATTCTGCGTCAACTGGAGTTGAGCGGCGCGATCGTCAGCATCGACGCCATGGGCTGCCAGAAGGAAGTTGCCAAAGCTATCGTCGAGCAGAAGGCTGACTATGTGTTGGCGCTCAAGGACAATCACCCAAATCTGCACGAAGACGTTGCCCTGTGGCTGGCGCATCAAGATGCGCAGGGTTGGGTGCGGCAGATCGAAACGGTGGAGAAGGACCACGGACGCCTCGAAACTCGCCGCGTGGTCTTGAGTACGGAGCTGGCGTGGCTGTCGGCCAGGGAAGAATGGGCCGCTCTGAAGGCGGTGGTCATGGTTGAAGCGACAAGCAAAGCCGGGACAGACGCCACTACCTCACCAGCCTGAGCGAGCCGGCACGGATTGCTCAAGCCATCCGGCAGCACTGGAGCATCGAAAACCAACAACATTGGGTGCTGGATGTCCAGTTCGGCGAAGATGCACATCGAGCCAGCAAGGATCGCTCCGCGGCCAATCTTGCCCTCATCCTGCGTGTAGCGCTCAACTTGCTACGTCAAGCCACAGACACTCTGAGCCTGCGGCGACGCAAGATGCGGGCTCTGAGCAACCTCGACTATCACCAACGTATCCTCTTCGGGGAAAAGAACTTATAGCGCGATTGCCCCGTAGCTGGGCTGCGGGTCGCTTGATCGATAGCCATTTTCTCGCTATAATTTTTCGCTCTTTCGGGTCGTTAGCTCAGTTGGTAGAGCAGCGGACTTTTAATCCGTTGGTCGCAGGTTCGAATCCTGCACGGCCTACCAGTAAAATCAATGAATTACGCGCCTTTCATGCAGTGGGCAGTTTCTCTCGGTGGGGGAAAAACAGGCGAAGGGCGTAGCCAGGGAGGCGGTTTTCAGCCGGGCTAATGAGCGGACAGTTTGTTTGCTACAAAACCGGGTAGTTCTATTTGTCCTCGACATGACACAGAAAGGTCATTGACATCGACACGTCACTGTGATTTCATTGTCTTCATGAACCACGCACAGATCCGTCTATCGCTACGACTACCCGCCTGCTTATCCGGGCCGGCCGAGTCTGTTCGCGTGTGCTTCATGGCAGCTTCGTTGACGAAGCACCACTGAATCCCCTGATCTGACAACCTGGCCCCGGTTACCGACCGGCAGCTGTGTTCGTTCATGCCTTCCGGTCGCAACGCCGGCCTTCTCGTGCCCTTTCCGACCCACTGGCGAGACGAACCATGCTGAAAAACCCTTCGACCAAGTACCGCGCATTCACACCGATCGAATTGTCCGACCGTGCGTGGCCAACGCGCACGATCACCCGAGCACCGATCTGGATGAGCACCGATTTGCGCGACGGCAACCAGGCGTTGTTCGAGCCGATGGATGCCAAGCGCAAGATGCGCATGTTCAAGATGCTGGTCGCAATCGGCTTCAAGGAAATCGAAGTCGCATTCCCGTCGGCGTCCGAAACCGATTTCAACTTCGTGCGCGAACTAATCGAAGGCGGCCACATCCCCGACGACGTGACGATCGAGGTGCTGACGCAGGCACGCGAAGACCTGATCGAGCGCACCTTCGAGTCGCTGCGCGGCACGCCGCGCGCAATCGTCCACCTGTATAACGCGACCGCGCCGGCATTTCGCCGCATCGTATTTGGCACCGACCGCAACGGCGTACGACAATTGACGGAACATGCCGCCCGTGTGATCAAACAACTCGCGGAGGCGACGCCACAGACCCACTTCACGCTGCAATACAGTCCCGAGACGTTCACCGCGACCGAGCTCGACTTTGCCAAGGAAGTCTGCGACGCGGTCTTCGACATCTGGCAGCCGACCCCCAAGCACAAGGCCATCGTGAACCTGCCGGCAACCGTCGAAGTTGGGACCCCGAATTTCTATGCGGACCAGATTGAGTGGATGCACCGCCATCTCGCACGACGGGACTCACTGGTACTGTCCGTGCACCCGCACAACGACCGCGGCACGGCCGTCGCGGCCGCCGAGCTCGCGGTGATGGCCGGTGCGGACCGGATTGAAGGATGCCTGTTCGGCAACGGCGAGCGCACTGGCAACGTGGATCTGGTGACCCTGGCGCTGAACCTGTATACTCAGGGTGTCGACCCGGGCCTAGACTTCTCGCGGATCAACGAGATTGCCCGCACGGCCGAGGAATGCACGCAGTTGCCCGTGCCTGCGCGTCATCCGTACGTCGGTGACCTGGTATTCACCGCATTCTCCGGCTCGCACCAGGACGCGATCAAGAAGGGCTTTGCCGCGCAGAAGCCGGACGCAATCTGGGAGATCCCGTACCTGCCGATCGATCCGAGCGACCTCGGCCGCACATATGACTCGATCATCCGCGTCAACAGTCAATCCGGCAAAGGCGGCATCGCGTACCTGCTCGAACAAGGCTATGGCATCGTGCTGCCACGGCGCTTGCAGGTCGACTTCAGCTCCGCGGTGCAGCGACACACCGATGACAGCGGCCAGGAGATCAGTGCTGCACAAATCTGGGCGTTGTTCCAGCAGGAATACTCGCGCAGCGACGCGCCGCTGCGCTATATCGGCCATGAGCTGTACAAGCACGACGGCCGCGAATCCATCACGGTCACGGTCCAGATCCATGGCCGGCAACAGGTCGTCGCTGGCACCGGCAATGGTCCGCTCGATGCGTTGATGCACGCGCTGCGCACGCCGCTGCGCATCCAGCACTATGAGGAGCGGGCGTTGTCGCAGGGTGCCGACGCCCAGGCCATCGCAATTGCCGAGCTCGCCGGCACCGACGTGCGCGGCAGTGCGTTCGGCGTCGGCATCGATGCGAACCTGACGACGGCATCGATCCGCGCGGTCGTGCACGGCGTGAACCGCGCGTATGCGCGCTGCGACGCAGCCACGCAACGCACGTTCTTCGAGGCGACACGGCTTGCGCCGATCGGAGTCGGCACAAGCCAGGCTGCATGATGCATCGGCACAACGCCTGAACGTGTGTCGTCAACCCTGCCGCATGCAACCGGCATCGCCGGTTGCATGCGGCGGGCGCTGCTTTGCGACGTGATGCCACAACAAACAGAAACAATCGTTACGGAACGGCAACTGGCGCCGCCGGTCAAATCGCTGCCATTTGACGTCGCCGCCAAGCCGGCTTCTCCATTGCAAAGACCTTGCGAACACCCAGCGCATGAACGCCGATATCGCCAATACGCCGTCACCGCGCAAGCCGTTGCTGCGCCAACTGCTGAGCCACCATGAAATCGCCACGCTGCTGCTACTGCTGCACGCGCCGGCCGGTGCGCTCGCCACCAAGCCGGACGTGACGGCCCTGGCCGAGGTCGGCCTGGTACGCATCGTCGATTCATCGGGGATCGGGCCGCACGTCGAGCTGACCGCCGAAGGCAATGCGCTCGTGCACACGTTGACCGCGTCGCGCTGAGCGCTGCTACGACCTCTTGCCCGCCGCGGACGTGTAAACTGCTGTCTTTTTGACTCTGGTGGTATGGTGCAAGCCCTACGGTACGCAGCGCTCAGCGGCCCGACGCTCGTTCGCCTACTCGCGCAGCTCGCGCATGTCAACGTTGCCGAATCCGGGCAATCGCTGTCAGACCAATTGAGCCAATGGCTCGGCTGGACCGACGCTATCACGCTGTCGACGGCGCTGAACGCCAATCCGCCTGCGGTGCCACCGGGCACACGCGCGCTGGGCACCGATGCGCACCAGCACAGCACGTGCGTACGCAAGTCGTTGACGGGCCTGATCGACAGCGCTTGCGGGCTTGCCGCCACGGCGCGCCACGCAACCGCGCACGCTGTGCCGCGGCGCGCCGCATCCGATACGGTGCCCGATTACGCCGCTTTTCGCCAACGCTACGTCAGTGTGCAGCGGGCGATGGAAACGGACATCGGCGAACTGCGCGGCCGCCTGCGCGTCATGCTGGCCTCGCACACGCCCGACACCGCCCGGCTCTCGGCGGTAGATACCGTCATGGAGCAGGCGCTGAGCGCACGCGAGCACACTCTGCTGGCCTGCGTGCCAACATGGCTTGGCACGCACTTCGAGCGTTTGCGCGACGCTGCGCATCCGGCTGCGACAGATGCGCAGGTCGACACGGATGCCGCTCGCCACGCGCACGGCGCATGGCTGGACCTGTTCCGCAAAGATATGCGCAGCGTGCTGCTCGCCGAGCTCGATGCCCGGTTTCAACCGGTCGAAGGGCTGCTGTCGGCCCTTCGCGCCCGCTAACCAAGATGCTATGACCCGATTTCGCCTTAACGTTATTGTATTCCTGGCCGGTTTCGGCGTCGTGTGCTGGATCGGCACCGGCTATCTCGGCTCCAACTTGCTCGCGGCGACCGTCACGCTGTTGATCGGCGCCGGCTATCTCACCGGCGCACTGGAGCTGCAACGCTACCAGCAGGCCACTTCGACGTTGACGCGCGCCATCGCAAGCCTGTCCGGCCCGCCGCCCGAGCTGCAGCCGTGGCTCGAGCTGCTGCATCCCGGGTTACGCAGTACGGTACGCATGCGCATCGACGGTCAGCGCGTGGCATTGCCGGGGCCGGTGTTGACGCCCTATCTGGTAGGCCTGCTGGTCTTGCTCGGCATGCTGGGCACGCTGCTCGGCATGGTGGCCACGCTGCGGGGCACCGGGGCGGCGTTGCAAAGCGCAACCGACCTCGACGCCATCCGTGCATCGCTGGCCGCACCGGTCAACGGGCTCGGGTTCGCGTTTGGTACGTCGATGGCTGGCGTGGCGACGTCGGCCATGCTGGGGCTACTTTCCGCATTATGCCGGCGCGAGCGGATCGACGCGGCGCAGCAACTCGACACGAGGATTGCGACAACATTGCGCGTCCACTCGTACGCTCACCAGCGCGACGAAACCTTCAAGCTCCTGCAGCGCCAGGCCGATGTCATGCCCACGCTGGTCGACCGGCTACAGGCGATGATGGCAAGCATCGAGCAGCAGGCTGTGGCATTGGGCGAGCGGCAACTTGCCGGCCAGCAAGCGTTCCTGGACAAGGTCGAGCACGCGCACGAGCGCCTCGCTTCGTCGGTGGCACGATCGTTGGAAGATAGCGTTGCGCAAAGCGCGCGTGCCGCTGGTGCGACGCTGCAGCCGGTCGTGCAGACTACGATGGCGGGCTTGGCCCGCGAGACGGCGTCGTTTCACGAGGCCATCACCGGCGCCGTAAAATTGCAGCTGGACAGTCTGTCAAGCGGCTTTGACGCGACGACCCGCAACGTGGCGACCCTCTGCGGCAACACGCTCGCACAACATCAGCAATCAAACGATGCACTGCTCGAACATGTGCGCGTATCGGTGGATCGACTCGCCGAGGCGGTCGAGCAACGCTCTTGCGGTCTGCTGGAAAAAATCTCCGTGCGCCTGGAAGCCAACGCTGCGGACATGTCGCTGGCCTGGAAGCACGCGCTGTCGCAACACGAGCAAGTCAGCGAAAAACTGGCTGCGGATAGCCAGCATGCCCTCGAAGCCGCGGCGACGGCCTTCGCGCGGCGATCGACGTCGCTGCTTGGCGCAATCGACCAGTCGCACGCGCGGCTGCAAGCGCAATTGGCGTCGCAGGATCAGCAGCGGCTCGAGACCTGGACCGAAACGCTCACGTCGATGGCCGACGCCTTGCGTCACCAATGGAACGAAGCCAGCACGCATGCGGCCAGCCAGCAACAGCAGATCTGCGACACGCTGGCGCGCACTGCGCATGACATCTCGGCCCAGGCCAAGGAGCACGCCAACGACACGATCGCCGAGGTCGGCAAGCTCATACAGGTCGCAT